AGAACGGTACAACTACACCATTTTGGAAGCCTTGCGGAGCATGGGTGCCGATACGGACTTTAATAAATGGGATCAACATATTACTAGCATACAACAAGGCATCAATAGCACAATTAACAAAACTACATCTGCTATCCCTAGTGAGGTATTTTTTGGGTATCGAATACGTATGAACGGAGACGGAATTACTGATGGCAATATAGAACATACGATTGACGTCACGGCTCTGCGAAATATGGTTGATGAGAACATACAAAAAAATGCTGAAAGACAGAAAGCTGCTTTCGATGCAAAAAGAAAGCTGGCACCTATTTATAAAGTGGGGGATTTGGTTGTTATCAAAGTACCAAGTTTCACGAATGATGGTCAAAGCACAAAATTAATGCCGATTTATAAGGGTCCTTTTCAGATATCAGAAGTCCTTGGGCATGATAGATATAGGGTCACAGATATGAGGGGTGCGGAAAGAAGTTCAAAACGATACAGTGGAGTATCATGTGTGGAGAACATGAAACCTTGGATAAATATATCATGCCCAGAACCAGATCCGGATGTTATCAATGACTAGGTAAGGTCTAGGTAAAGTATGGGTCACAATTACTTTCCTTACTTGTCCGTGCAGTTTTTAATTTTTATCAGTCTAATGCGTTCACTCTGAACATTGGGATGTACAGAGAGTGGTGATCTTAGTGTGTGGCAGAAATCTCTTGTGAACACTGTCATTAACACTTGTGGTGATACACAACTAAATGAGAAAAATGTAAATCATTTAGTTCAAACCATAGATTGGGTCGTTGGCCGCCGATGGGATAACGACCTCAGTCAGATTAGCTTACTCTGCTGTATACTCCTAAATGTTACTGATATAGGGTTTAACAAATCAAAATTTATTAACCATTGAATAAGTATGAGAAATTATTATAGCCTGTCCTTTTCCTATGTTCACAGTGCCCGCATCAGACGAATTCGCTGTTCGTGGGCGAACGCGAGAGCAGGACGGCCGGATGTTATCGCCAGCAATAAAATATCGGTATTTGACATTGACGTCACATCCGACAGCTGTCACATTGGCGCTAGTGGACTTGGCGCGCGATTTTCCCTCCAACACGTAATTTTCCAACGGTGACAGGTGACTATCGGCTCGGCACTCGGGCCACTTCTTGCGGAGCAGTCGAAGAGTGAAAACGGAATACGGGATTATAATTGTGTATTTCCAATCGTGTGATTTCTGTAAAGGTTTAAGTATAGTGCACATTATTTCTGATTATTATAATATTTATTGATTGATAAATAAACTTGCTGATAGTGATTCTTAGTATGTTAGTGATGTTAAGCAATTGAATTAACTAATATTTAAATAAGTATCATGAAGTTGAAAGTTATGAGATTATTACTTGATGAAATAATTATTACAATTAATGTTAATACTTTGTATGCTGGATATGGGAATGTTTTATAAATAAATGTGTGAATGACGGTACTTTCTTTTATTAACTATAGTTTTTAATTCATTAGCCAAAGTTAAAAACTGTAGGTATGAAACGTGAAGTACATACATGATGGTTCTCCCGCACCTGCGTGAGGAGACGCTTCGGGTGGCTTTGGTACTAAAAGTGCTAAAATTAGCGTTTGAAATTTGAATTACTTCTGTCGTAATGAATAGACGGGCTGTGTCTCTATAAACGCTAGACGATAGCTTGTCTGTCAATAATTTGACACGCCAAAAGAGGTTGTGGAAAACGATAAAATTGTATGTGCAGCTGAAGAGCTTACCTCATTCAAAAATCCAATAATACCAAAGGCACTTGATGCGTCGTCATGCACAGGTGAGGGATAAGCATGAGGTTGACTTCTATACCTAGCTGTTTTGTCAACAAGCACCTTAAAAGCGTTATGTTCAGCATCGGCTAATTCCGGTGACTTTTATTGGAACTTATGCGATTCGGCACGTGGCGTGGGACCGCTTGACCCACACGCCGAGTGGAAGGGTTAAGATGTTGACCCCTAAAGGGTTTCGGGATATAAGATTATGGGATAAATTCTGATTTATTGCTATATTGTTATGTAACTATACCAAGTAATCATAGTCGACAATACAAGTATTGAGTTTTAATTATTTCGCTTAATATGTGCGAAACTGAAACCTTAAACTTTTTTCTTTATGTATCTACTAGCTGACCCAGCGAACTTCGTACCGCCCTAAAAAAATAGGGGTTGTCCAGCGGACAAAATTGTGAATCTAAACCATTCTCAGATCCCCTTGAACACACACAAAAAATTTCATCAAAATCGGTCCAGTCGTTTAAGAGAAGTTCAGTGACATACACACTCACAGAAGAATTATATATACAGGGTGAAATTGAATGTTTTAATGAAACTTCGTGGGATTATTGGGTTACGTATATAGAGTATCTCTGAATTTTTTCGGATTTTTTAAAAATGATTTAAAATAAAATTTCGTTTTTTTTTGTTATATTTTAATCTCCTTTTGGGTACTAAATAATTATTCTTTTTAAACACGCATACAGAGTAAGTAAAAAACAACTAATTAGCACTACTAAAAAAACGTAAAAACAGAAGACGAGCGGTCGGGAGCAATGACCGCTCCCGCCGTTGAATCGGTTGAATACCTACCTATGCGCGGTGCAAAGCGCAGTGAGCGAGCGCAGTGTCAAGTTTATCCACCGCGCGTGCGTATCTTTTAAATTTGTGACAAGAGAAGATTTGCAAATAATGGCATGATTAGTTCTTGTTCTGTGGCCTCAATATAAGAAATTGGATATGGTGTGTTGTTATTGTAGTGTTACGGAATACTCAGCAGAGCCACAAGGCTTTACGAAAGTAGGTTTGGTGATTGATTGTGTTTACAAAGTGTATACGGGAAGTTTAAGTGAAAAAAATGAATAGGTACATCGGTATCGTAAGTACTTTTGAATACGGGGTTATAAATTTCACCCAAGTATTGAACTGCAATAAGTATTTCTTTTTGTTTAACATTTGCCTATTTGTAATTGTGACAAAATTATTATTAACTTTTAAAGTTTTTCTCTGCTTAAGAGAAGATGACATTTGTGCTTATTATTTCAATAAAGGCATCTAAGACGACTTTATTGTATTGTGTGGAATCAAAGGAGTCAACTGAACTCTGTGTAGAGGTACCTACTCACTCAACGGCTGGCGGGCGCGGTCGGCCGTTGACCCACCGTGGAATTTTAATGTTTTTCCATTTTTTAGAAGTACTTATTTATTAGTTATTTTTCACTGGATATGTAAGTTTGTTTGTTTAAAATGAATAACTACTCAAAAGGAGGAAAGGATATAAAAATACACAAATTATAAATAAAATCATGAAAAAAAAAATACTTCAAAAAAATCCGAAAAAAACAGGCATACTCTATACACATAACCCAACAATCTCACGAAGTTTCATAGAAACATTCAATTTCACCCTATATAAAGATGTACTATAAATAAACTAGTCTGACTTTTCTAGCTTCTAAATATATAGGTATATTCACTAGAGCAATTTCCCGTTCGGTTGTTTTCGAAACCAGTTTTGAGAAAATAATTATAACTAATTCCATTTTAAAACCGGTTTTGTTTAAACAACTTCAGATAAATGTACAAATTATTGACCATTGCATTCATTAGTAATATTGGCCCATATTATAAATACCATTTCTTTTACTTACTAATGATTATTTATTTATCTGTCTAAGTCGTGGTGTCCTATTTCATGTCTATTTTGACAATGCCATCCCTATACGGAGTCTTTCATTTTTTCAAAAACAGATTTTTGTTGTCGGTTTCGGTATCAGAAACATTTTTCTTATTTGGAAAAAAATATTTTCTGTTTTCAAAAGCTGTTTCAAAAAAAGAATTATAATTCTTTACTTGAAACAGGTTTTGAAAAATGGTTTGAAAACGACCGAAGGGCAATTTCACCAGCGTTATAAAACCCTGTGGCTGTACATGTTCAAAATAATTGTTCCAATTAAACAAAGTTTTTCGTTCCACCAGTAAGGAAGAAGCTTGTTAACCCGAACTGCCAGCATTGCTGACCCCCAAAGCCATAATAAATTTATTTATTATTTGCACCCTTTGAACAACAACTCCCGAAATTATTATGGTGCTACGTGAACTGTGTGCATAAAAGGCCGGCCATCTTAAAGGAAAGAAATTGGCTAAAATACTCATTTTACTCAATTTATTTCGTTATGAATTGCCTCTAACTTCACAATAATGGCGCTTAGAAGTACTTGCCAAGTTATTTTATTGGTTTAATGCGTATATTCGTTTTTTATGTTATATAATATAAATATTACATATATATTTACACGGAGCAAATACAAATAAGGATAGAAGTTTGTTTTAAGAAATTAAGTGGAGTCTAACCTTGGTCCCCGAGCGAATATATTTTTATTAAAAACCATCTAAAGATAGATATATAAGTACGGACTAGTATGGGTACTGGCCAAGATTGATAAGTAATTATGTTTTCTTTTGGATGTTATTTTCTAAAGTTTTAATACGAAATCGTTTAGGTACCTTATCTTTCAGTGTTTTCGCACAAATAATTTAAATGTTAAAGCAGAAATCTTTGGCATTGATCAGCTTATTGATGACATCGATATGGCCTGTTTTATTTTTCAGTTCAGGTACGACAGAAATAAGAAATTAAATAATACCGTAAAGAATACGCACGGTGCCATGTCTGGGAGCGTGCGGTAAATGTTTTACACACGCTCCGTAGTATGGTCCGTAATTTTGAACTTTCTAACAATATATATACAACCTCCGTAAATGCATTTTTAGAGCGAATGTATTGAAAAGTTTATTTTGTTGTTGTAAGAATTTTATTGTGCTTACATGTCTTCAAAACTGTTATGAAAGTACTTGAGTCGTAACAAGAAGGTTCTGATTTATTCATGAATATGTATAAGCTCTATCCTGTTTCTGGGTTAAAAGTATGAAATAATTAGTACTAGGAATATACTCACATCTATATAGGAAGCATTAATATAATCGGAGTCAGGCTCCCGGTCCACTGAATCTAGCACCACTCTGTTGTAATCATCTGGAAAAAAATATTAATAAATTATGATTACTTATTTATTTTCAATCATTACATCTATCATTACAGGCTTTTCCCAATGCGATAGTGAAACGTTCATTACATGCTATTTTAATTAACACTAACTATAATAGTTAAACATATGAGGATATTACTTAAACATAACTTTGATATTAAATAATTACGTAACTTTACTAACAAACTTCATTGTTACATTTTTTTAAGCATTAAACTGCGAGATGATTAAATCTAAAGAAAATTTTACTAAAATAAACCACGCGGACCAGGCAGCAGACGGGACTTGAATCCCCAGCCTCCGCTGTCCGGGCGGATGCACAGATGTCCAAACCGGTGACGCTGTAAAGGTCGTCTGCGACCAACAGCATACACACTCAAAAAAAGGATGCACTGACCATAATGTTACCGCGGTCCTAATGACTAAGTCGAATTCTTTCTAGTATATTGTAGGCAAGGCAATATGTCTGCTGCAGTCCGCATAGATTTTTTTCTAGCAAAACTTGCTTTGCGAGCAAGGGCGGATCCAGCTTTGCCGCCAGGGGGGGTCATATAGTCGTCGTCAAGTCACAGTAGGTACAGATTGTAAAGTGGGCATAGACGGACCCAGCCCAGGGGGGGGGGGGGGTCATGACCCCCATGACACCCCCCCTGGATCCGCCCTTGTTTGCGAGATCAATCAGGTTCACAAAAGTAGTAATGATGGTCTAGTGTCGCAAAACAATGCCATTAAACAATTATTATTTTAAGTTATAAAAACACAAACGAAGAAAATGGACGTGTTAATTCGAAATGTATTAAAACTAAGAGCACAGTGCTATTCCTCGACGTAACCACAATTAATGCATTCTTTGCATCTCTCAAATAAACACAGCCCTTGTTTTGCAGCTCTTTCGGGTAATAGTAATATTGTCTGCTTTTTATTTCTTTCTCTTTTTTGAGCTCAACTTAGTACGAGATGTTGTTCAAATAGAGTGTTCTAAAGAGAACGCGAGGACACGATATTTCACTAGCTTACGACAAAATTCAATAATGCTAATCAAATTAAACATAATTATGAATTGTAAGTAGAAAGTGTTTCCTCTCCAATTTCATGCGGTTACATTACGCAAGCGTCAATAAGAAAGTACATATTGTAACATTTTCTACGTTGCACGAAGCCTTAGTGTTGATTGTGCCTGAACATAGCGGTGTCTCTGAAACCCCGGGTTCGATTTCCGGTCGGCTCAATGTAAATGAACTTTTTCACGAACCAACAACAATAATATTTCGTGTATGGGAAGGTCTTATTGTAGAGGCTAAACGTGTCGCCGCACACGGGCCACCGACCACAACCACAAAACGCCGCCATCGGCATATTTCTTGTAGTTTTCATACATTTTATATGGACTCGCCACACACGGTAGGCCGGTGGCCGCCACACGCTACAAATCGTCGCTGCTCGCTTCTTGTGGCCCTCGACACTAAGTGTCGCAGCACACGGGCCACACACCACAGCCATAAACGCCGCCACGAGAAGCTAGAAGCGCTAGAAGCGGCTACTAAAGTGGCTGAAGCGCGCGACAGCAGCCGACTAAGGTAAGGGAGAGAGGGGTGGGGAATCGCGCAAGTGACGTGTGGCGGCGTTTTGTATCGGCGCATTAAGTGGCCGGTGCGGGCCTAGGGACACGATATCGAATAGAAAGTATCGATACTCTACTCATGTAGCATCGGAAAAAAGCATTGTACTCGTAAAAGTATTGAAACAAAAGTATCGATACTACAAAGTATCGAGTACATTTCATAGGGCCTGATCGGATCCTCTGTGGCCTGAGCAGCCCCCCCCCCCTTTTCAGCCCCCCCCCTTTCCGTCTTTTTTTCAGGTCCGTGGTTTCAAATTGGTATACACAGCACGGACAGAATAATTGTGTTACACTTGAATAAATCAAATACAGTCAAGCGAAAAGCACAATAAACCGCGAATCAATCACAGTTCAGTTCCTAATAATATGGTTACTAAATAAATAACTATGAAACAAAACAAAGCGCAAAATAAACACTGTCACAGATTAGAAAGAATTTGAATATATCAGTTACTGACTTTATAAAAACGCAATGGAACGTTTTAGAAAGTTTGCTATGATTTAACAAGATAACGTTGCCATCAATATGAGGCGATTACCTAAATTTTTAAAGGTATCGATACTTGCCAAAAAATACTCATTTAGTAAAAGTATCGAATACAAAGTATCGAGTACAAAAGTATCGGTATCGAAAGGAAAGGTACTCGATACCACAAAGTATCGATACTTTTTTCGTGTCCCTATGCGGGCCACAAGAAGCGAGCAACGACGATTTGTAGCGTGTGGCGGCCACTGGCGTACCGTGTGTGGCGAGTCCATATAAAATGTATGAAAACTACAAGAAATATGCCGGTGGCGGCGTTTTGTGGTTGTGGTCGGTGGCCCGTGTGCGGCGACACTAAGAACTCCAAAGTAGTTTCTTGCCGCACCCGCTGCAGGTGGCCACAGAACTGTTTTATTTCCAAACTCACGAGACCTCAGTTTCTGATTTCTGATTTCTCACACCTGCGCGACGAAGTTTTGATACAAAAATGCGTTACAAATTTGAATTACTTCTTTCGTAAGTACGCTCCTTCAGCTGTATATAGAAATTTATTGTCTCTCACAACCTGTTTATGTGTATCAAAGTTTCGCCAGTCAAGCTATCGTCTAGCGTCTATAGACTAGCAGCTAAATAATTCATTACGATAGAACTAATTGAAAATTTCGAACGCTAATTTTAGCGCATTTAGTACCACAGTCATCCAAAGCTTCATCGCGCAGATGTCGTACTCGTGACATTTTAGCTGTCCTTATAGGTATCATTGGAATTCCATTAGTTATTTAAAGTCCTTATTTTCTATCTATATTTCGTATTTTTCAAGTAAATGGTTATGTTTTGAAAACAACATAGTGTTTAACAGAATTGTTTGTTGCCAAATAAAAGACGACACAACTCTGCAAAAGACTTCAATCGGATGAATCGTTTCAACGTTTCCGCGTTTTCGAGTGCCGTATAAAGAGTTTATTTTAAAATCGCGTATAATGGAATACTCGAGTTTCCATCCACATGTATTTCGTTTGGTTTGACAGCGGAAATTATTTTAAGGAATGGAATGTACTCTACGTATATATGCTTGTGTTCAATCTTTTGATGAAATCAATTTCATAAACTGAAATACTAAAAAGAAAATTGGCATTGGTTTTTGCAAATTTATGTATATACATACAAAATAAAATTATGATATATTGTACTAAATAAGTTAACATCACATAATAAAAAAAAGCGCTAACATTAAAAATATTTAATATTTAGCTTCATTTTATTTATTGATAATTATTATAAAAACTTATCCTTTTAAATACCCATCACTCTTGTGGAGGGTGTAACATAAAAATTCAGGATATACTTACAAGGTATAACTTTTTGATTTTGGTTTTTATGTAGATTCGTCTTCTTTGTGGCGTGTCGACATGAATGATTCTCCACTTTTACGGCTGTCTGTAACAAGACACATAAAATATTATTTAAAACTTTTATGGTCACTAACATTATAGTAGCGCGTCCTCGATATTTCGGCACTGTTGCAAGCGCTCAAGAAACATGGATCAGTTACTCCATAATCATGGCGCTTGGCAACAATGACAAATTATGGAATCGCTAAAAACAAGGTAGGTACCTACATGATCATCAAATTACAATACTATAATATAAAATGTTGACTTGCCATTAGCCGGGAAACAGATCTTTACCGCCTCAATTCCAGGCGTACAGTATTACGAAATTCCTTACTACAACGCATGAACGCACACTAATCAGAATCAAAGACCTTATCTCGGAACAAACTGTGCGGAACAAATTCGGCCATCGCGAGTCGCTGTTCCGGCGCTTGCTGAGGTGATAACGATCTATTTCCGCTGAAAACGGACCTCCAGAAACAAAATACTATAGAATAATGAATATTTGATGCACTCTTTTTACACCGGCACTTAACATGACTATTCATTTTGCTATTTGTAAACTTGATAACAGTCTCTCATTTTTATTCCATAGATTTTATATTAATTAATATACAGGGTTACAGGATAATTTGACATTTACATTTAAGGATATTATTATTTAGGTCATTGCTAATAGACCCTATGACATACTGTCAGAAAGATAACCTAGGTGATTTTCTTAAAAGTACCACTGTTTGTTCTAATTTTGTTTATATAATTTTGGCGCTTTATATGGCTTCTGCCGACCCTAGCAGTTATTGCCGCTGCCCCTCGTAGCGTGCCATCCTGAGCCATGACCCTCTTGACCCTAGGGTTAATACGCCCCTGCAGGCTAATCCAGCTGTGGTTAGCCGCATGGACTGCGGTCCGTGGGACAAGTCAGGTGACGCTGTGAACTGAGAAGCCTTGGATCGGCTAAAACGGGTGCGGGCCGGGTTGCTGGTCGGAGGCGGGCGGTGGTTTGACGTCTGCCACGCTTGCAAGTCAAAGTATACTATTTTTTTTTATGTATGGAAAATGCTTTCCGCATTCTCCGCCCACCGGGAGAAACGTAGCGGACTTATCCGGGACTCCTCCCCACTTATTTCACCCAGCAACGTCAAAGTATACCTGCACCGACTAGAAGCCCTCGGGCTGTTCCCCGCAGGCCAAATGCACCACGATAGTTAACATTTACTTACAACAAACCCTTTGCGTCGTGCTTCGGGTTTGTTCACAGCAAGCCAACGCGGCATTGGTCATTATCGTGATATAATGCGCTTTTTCTCCCCGTCATCGAGAAAAGGCTAATCCAGCAGTGAGTAAAACAATAGGCAGATAATGATAAAGCTTACCAAAAGATCGAAAGCCATTAATTTTATTGTCCCCTTGCAAGGAAGTGGGCGGTACGTCTTTACGCACGATGTCACTAACAGAACGAAGCGTTTATAGAAACTGACATTAATTTCAGACACAAACACCGTTGGATTGCGAAACACAATGTCCGCATAAAATGTTTTTTTACTAATATGTAGGTGATTTTATATTTGAATTTAATTGTAAAGCAAAAATTTTAAGAGAATATTTAATTAAAAATAATTTCACACTGTCCAGGCAGCAGACGGGATTCGAACCTTCCACTATCCGGGTGGACGCACTAACAAATGAGGAAGACCTTATAGTGTGAGTACAAATACTTATGAAAATAAGCTTAATTAATTATTTGTAGTGTTGGGGTAGTAAGTAATAATTGGTAATTTTGATGTAAAAAGAGTGATGAACAAGCATACAGCCCGCATTTTGGTGAGCAGCTAGCAATCAGCATTTATACGCTCAAATCCTACTAATGATTCCTGCCAAAAAAATCCGTACTTGCATTTCACAGGTTTTCATTTCATAAGTAAAATCAAATTTATCGAGCCAACATTTTAATCCGAGTTCCTATATCGTACAAGCGTGCAAGAAAAATGGCTATCCAGTTTAGAACTAATATAGTACCTTGCGCTGCGCTGTGTCGTCAGGAGATAACACTCATAAATTTAAAGCTTGAAATTGTGTGAACCAAGAATGAGACAACATTTTACAAAGAAGGAATTTTAAATTGCTGTAGATAGAGTTACATTTTAGCGGTACAACGTATTCAAGCAAGAGATGAGTTAAGTAAAAAATAATACAGTCACTATACATGTTAAAGTAGGTCAATAATAAAATACTTATTTTATACAAGTACCCTCTTATTAATAAACGATGAATACGCTTGGATTAGTTACTCCATGTTTTGTCTCTGTCAATTGAATGACAAATGGCATTTGAGTGACATGAACAAAACACGCCGTAACTAGTCTAAGCTTACTCCTTGTTTATTAATAAGGTGGCTAATGTATAATATAATCTACCTACTTAAAACTGACTTATAGTGACTGCATTTTTTTTAACTTAACTCATCTCTTGCTTCAGAACGTTGTACCCCTACCTCCTTATTAATAAACAAGGAATAAGCTTAGACTAGTTACGCCGTGTTTTGCTCATGTCATTCAAATGCCATTTGTCAAGCCGGCTACTCATTAGGGAGCTGTAACCGTAACCGTTGCAAGCACTGTAACCAAAAAGCATAGTGTGTACGACTGTACGTGGTTCGCTAACCTGCTGCGAGTGGTACGCGTGCGGTTTGCAGCGAGCCGACGTTTAGGCCGGGATTCCACCAAAGCGGTGACGAGACGAGCGGAGAGATGTTTTTTAAACATCTAATAGAATTGTGTTATTAGCACATCTCCTCTCCGCTCAGCTTCAGTGGAGATCGCTGTGCAGAGATGTGTAATATTTGTATGGCGCCATGGAAGCGGAAATGTGAGCTGTGCGCGGACGACGCGCAGTGGAAACGAGAGATGTGAGCGGCGTGCAGTGAGCGGTGTCACCCTCCAGGGGGGAGGGTGACACCGCTCACTGCACGCCGCCCGCCAGCAGCCCGCAGAGCCCCGCTGAGCACTGAACGCCTCGCACCCGAGCTGAAAAACATCTCGCGCAGCACACAGCATACCGCACACATCTCTGCTTAGGTGGAGTTAGGTGCTTAGGTCGGACTTACAACTGAGCTACAAGCGTACACACTAGAACCTCGTACTGTATCACGCATGTTACGGTTACAGCTCGCTAATGATTACCCGGCTGCATTCAATAAACAGAGACAAAACATGGAGTAACTAATCCAAGCTTATTCTTCGGTTATTAATAAGGGGGACAAAGTGTAACTCTATCTACCGCAATTTAAAATTTGTTTTTTTTTTTATGAAATGAAAACCTTTAAAATACAAGTATGTTTTTTTTAATATAAACAATATTATTCTAGAAAAAATTTCACGCGGAGAAGGCAGCGAATGGACTGACCATTATATAGGGCCGCGGTAGCATAATGCTCAGTGCATTCACCCGGATAGAGCAGGGTTCGAGTCCCGTCTGCTGCCTGGTCCGCGTGGATTTTTTTCTGGTAAAATATTTTTTAGATTTAAACATCTAGCAGTTAAATTCTTAATAAAAAAAAATGTAAGTAAATGTATCTATCTATTAGAAACAAAAATCAGTTTAATAATCATAACTATATGAACCATCTGGGTTATTTCGTCTTGTTCTATTAATCTGGTGAGCACAGAGAGACTTGAAAGGGAACTGTTATCTGTTTGTTGGTCTCACTAGCAACCGCCTGCGACATCGTCCGTGTCAACTTTAGTTTTTTAATCCCACAGAAACCTGTCATTTTTCGGGATAAAAAGTATTCTTTGTCTCAATCCAGGCCATAACTTATTTGCATACCAAATTTCATCCAAATCCGTCCAGTAAATTTCCCATTCATAATACTAGCTTTGCTTTAAATTTTTGATAAAAATTACTCAGAAACTTAACATTTTTTCGCATAAAAGTATGTCTCAATACAGGTCGTATACTAAAGGTATGAGAACCAAATTTCATCCAAATCTGTTCAGTAGTTTTTGCGTGATTGACTATAACAAACGTACAAACTTTCACATTTATAAGTAGGATAATTTAACTTCCATGCTCTTTCAACACCCTAAAAGATAAAAAATAAAATTAGTAATTCATTAATAAGTCAATGATACAAACATAACCAAAATAGACTACACTTAAAAAATAAATAAGTGAACCAAACATAAAAAAGGGTTGAAAGGATTTTTACTCTCACTCCTTGTAATTCCGAATGATGTAAGGGATAATTGAATATGTACCCTGAATAAATTTTCATCCTGAGTGATGGTTCATGTATTTATAAGAATAACATAGACGATTAAATGGGAATAAATATTAACCTGACGTTCAAAAACATTAAAGTTATCCCACCTTATTGATAAACGAACACTAAGCTCAGACTAATTACTCCGTATTGTATTCATATCACTCAAGTGTCATTTGTCATTCAATGAACACAGACAAAACATAGAGTAACTAATCCTATCTTAGTCTTCGTTTTTTTTTAATTATTAATCCCCGTTTTGTTACAGGTCTTTATATTCTTTTTTGTTTTCCATTCTTTAGTTTTCTTTTTTTTGTGCTTGTCTTTTTTTGTATCTCTTATCTCATTATTCTATTACATATTCTTTCTTATCTTGAATATTTATATTTACGTTTCTCTGAGTTCTTAAATTCTTATATCTATTTTACAATCATTTTTCTTGTTTATTTATTTCCTATGAATTTTTACATATTTGCTTTTTTTATATTTCTTATTTTTACATTTTTATTATACTTATTTTACAATTGATGTGCTATATTAGCGTCATTTACTAACCCTTATTTTTTTCTTTACATTTTTTACTATTTCCCGACTAAACTCTAGGAATAGTTTCATTTCTTTCACATTTTCAAAGATTTAGACTTCGTTTATTAGTAAGGGGGATAATGTTTTCTCTTGTCAATGTTTTAGTTACAAATAACTAAGGAGTAGGGTGCTAGTATAATACAAATATTATACTAGCACCCTACCCTGGCTTTGTTCAGGTGTTCAAATGAAAA